CTGTATATAATCCGTTTTGTGCCCATTTCCAATGTGTGACATCAGTCAATTCTCATTTCCCTTTTTGAGTTAAAAGTGGAAATAAGTGTAGAAACTGAGGAATTTCTGCATTTTCTACTGGTTATTCTGCTTCATACTTACAGCCTACCCCAGTGTGTGCAGTTCGGAATGCAGGATTAGCAGTGTCTTAGTACAAAGAAGTGAGCATGGAGTGACTGGAGGAGGCAGGAGATCTGATTTCATTTTGTTTTGTTTTTCTTACTTAAAACTTTGCGACTGGGCATGATGGCTCATACCTGTAATCCCAGCACTTAGGGAGGCTGAGACAGGCAGATCACCTGAGATCAGGAGTTCGAGAGCAGTCTGGCCAACATGGTGAAACCCCGTCTCTACTAAAAATACAAAAATTAGCTGGGCGTGGTGATGCATGCCTGTAATCCCAGCGACTCAGGAGGCGGAGGTGGGAGAATCGCGTCAACCCATGAGGCAGAGGTTGAAGTGAGCCGAGATCACATCATTGCACTCCAGCCTGGGCAAAAGAGTGAGACTCTGTCTCAAAAAACAAAACAAAGCAAAGCAAAAAAAAAAACCCCAAAAGTCTTTGCTTAGAATTCTCCATACAAGTCTATTCTTGCTTTCTTAAGATGTTGGTTCCTATTGAAACCTAAGGCAGGGACTTGAAATTAGAAGAACTGTGTTGGAGTGCAGTCTTTAGCCATACATCTGGGTTAGCTGCTTGGCCCATTGAGACTGCTTTGAAAAAATTTTTAAAATGCTACTGCTGATTTCCATGAGAATCAACTGAGATACTGGAAACAATGTCAAGGTGAATTATGTTTCTAGTGAGAATTGCTCTTATGAGGAAGCAGGAGGACGAGGACCTGAGGGATGTGTTGGTGTACTTGAGAGGCCACTTAGAGCCCAGGGAAGACCTGGGGGCTGGATCCAGGTTTCCTGCATCTGGAGCTCCTGCATTACTGCTTCCTAGTTTATGATCTTGGAAATGCTGACAACTATCCTGTTTGCATGATGGAGCTCATTTGAGAATTTCTGATCTAGTGTAACATCAGGAAAAGAGCTGGGTCTTGAATCAAATCGCCTAACTTTTGGTCCAGCATCTCTTTATGCCATCTTTTCCTCCAAAGTCAGATAATACAGTTTGCAGAGTATGAGGTTTGGAGTAGGCTAGAAATAACTAAGACATAGCCTCCAAATCATTTTGGATTTTTTGCTTGTCAAATATTTGAACAATTCCAGATGTTCTCTAAGGTGAGATTATTTTTTCTTTAAATGCAGTTTTCCCTTTAAATGTAAACTTCTGTTAAATATCCTTTAAATTTAAACTGCAGAGTTTATAGAAATTTTTGTGTTTAATAGCCATTGATACATCAGCCAAAATTACAGACAGCATTGCCTTAGTTGACGCCTTCAACTTGCCAAATGCATTTATTTGTGTGTACGTTATACCCCCAATTTAAGGAATAATTCAGAAACAAGGAGCTAGTGTGGGTGCAGTGCGTTTTTATAGCGACTACAAATAGTTTCTTCAGGCTACTCTCATCATTTGTGAAAACACATTTATTGTTTGGTGGAAAGAACAAAACGTTTGCCATAGCAACCCTGGCAACCCTGGGTGTCTTCCCTATTAGCTGTAATGCGGGGAACATCTTCAACAGCAGGAAAGAGTCCTCGGCAATTATCACCCAGATAGCATCTCTCCATTTTAAGAGCTTTGACTGAAGCTCTTGGGCTCAGAAAATTTTTAACATGATGTGTTGATGAATGCTAACAACAACTATTCCATTTTGGTTAATTTGGGGAAGATTAATAAGTTAAGTTTTTTTTTACTGTGGGAAAAAGGGAGATGTGATTTTCTTTAGACAAATTTGCAGAAACTTTAATGTTAAATCATTCTCTATTTTTTGGTGTGGTTTGTCTTGGTTTGGTTTAGTTTTGATCAGTCCTTTGTTATTTTATTCTTTGCAAGGCAAAATTTCTTGTCATTCTAGTTCCTTGTTTCCATTCTTCACATAAGTTCTTATCATATACTAATTAGAGTAGATGAAGGAAAAGCTTTAAAGCATGAGGAGGAAGTCTAGTTGTGAACTATTGAGGGTAAAAGAGAAATAGTTAAGGCTTAGGAATTTTCATTTTTAAAATAATGGTGGTCACAGAAACATCAGAAGTCCTGTATTAAACTATCAGCTCCCAAATTGCTGTACATATTCTTTATGCAATAAATCACATATGAGTAATACAATTCTCAGCTTATAAAAGAATAACATGTTGATAATGGAAGCTATGTTATATACAAAAATCAGAAAAGTATAAAATCACTCATATATTCACTACAGATAAAATCACCATATACATTTATTTTCTATCATGTTTTAATATTGCTGAGAGAAGACCATTTCAACAACATTTTCTTTTTTTTCTTTTCTTTTTTTTTTTTACTGAGAATGACTGCAGCCTCATGAACTGGGCAGCAGAAGAATATGTTGAATAGAAATAAAGAATATGTTCAGAATAATTTTGGCTTTTTTAAAATGTAAAACCTCCGTCTCTATAAGCCTCTCTGTCAATTTTGAGAAGCTAGAGAAAGGCAGAGGGGAATGGGAATTGTGAATATGTTGAGGAAGACAGAGTTGAATGATAAAAATGTACTCCTGGATCTGGCATCTCAGAATCTCTGATCAAATACCCACTTCCAGTGATTTTCCTCCTTACTAATTTTCTGGAGTTTTATAACCGTTTTTTTTTGTTTTGTTTTGTTTTTTGTTTTTTGTGTTTTTCTGTTGAAGGATAATTGCAAATAGCTAGATTTACCCTATGTTTTAATCGTGGGTGCCAAATTTTCTAAACTTGCTGGATTTCAGTTTTCTCAACTTTATGATGGAGATAATGCTATTTACTTAAAAGGATATTGTATATTTATTCAAGTAGGCAAAACTACAGTGTCGAATAGAGTCCAATGCACATTGACTTAAACACAATAGTGTTTAGCTCTCATTCGTCTACTAGGTGAATGTGTTCAAGTAGGCAAGTGCTCTCCTCCATGTGATGATGCAGGGATCCAGGATCTTTCCATACTGTGATTCTGCCATCATCTAGATCTTGTTGTCAGCTGCATCCATCAGTGGTGGAAGAGGAAAGCAAGTGGAGAAGGAGCACGCTAGCCTGGAAGTGGCAGAAATTATTCCCATTCACATTCTTATTGGAGAGAACTTGACCACATGGCCATAACCATAAAAGTACAGAAAGCTGAAAACTGCCATTAAGCCATGCACTCACTACAATTCTATTACCACAGAAGGAAGACAGAATGGATATTAGTAACTATCTGCCATATCTGCCACTGTATTCATAAAAAACACTGAATAAAACACATTCCACAATAGATACTGAGCACATTCCCTTCCCCTTCTTTCCTGCATTTGACTCTTCTCAGGAATGGTGAGAAAAAAAAAGGAAAAAAAAACAAAACTTTTCTCAAACAAAATCTGCTAAGGGCTCGCTGCTTACTGAAGAAAATCAACCACAATTTGTAAGATGTGCCTTTAAGTCCTCTATTTTTCCATCCTTAAAGACAGAATAGGATTGACTTTATGCCCTCTATCACTTTGTCTGTATTGCAGCCCTGTACTATGAGAGACTCTGCAGGAGGAGCTGGGGCTCTGGAAAGCTCTCAGTTACCAAGGAGATGTCCAAATGACTCCTTCCAAGGTGGCGAGAAAGTAGACTGAAACATCACTAAAAATGATTTCAATGACATAGATTGAAAGAAAAAGGTTATTGATTAACTCCTCTAAACGAAAACTTCAATTACCTCTCCCTACTTGATGTCCTGAGTTGCTTCTATGCTATCCCTACCCATGGCATAATACAGTCTGCAGTAGCTCCCACATGGGCTTCAGAAGATTTGTGAAACTTGGGATTAGTATAAGTGAATATTGTCTTTTTTATTCTATGTGAAATAAAAACAGAAAATTTAGGCTACAAGTCTTCCAACTAAGAGAGAACTAATATTGATCTTCTGCAAACCTCAAGTGTGAGAAATACAAAATTCTCAGGCCAAAACAGTTTTCGTATGTGTGTCACAATGTCCCTGCAGGTTAGGTATACTGAATCACATGAAGATCCAAGAATGTTAGAGACTCTGTCACGCCTCTGAGATTTGGTGTATGTTGCTCCCTTTTCCCTGGCTAATCTCCATCGAACTTGCCATGTTTTTTTTTTTTTCCTGGGATTTGGCTGCACTTGCCTCATGCGTCACCTCTACTATGGCTGTCTCTAGAAGGCCTCTCTGATCAGCTCCTGAGGCATTCTGTGCTCTGTGTACCTGCTGTTTACCTCTTGTGATAGTTTCTTTCACATCACTTGATATGTTTTTGTCAGCATCTCTCTCTCTATTCAGCACCCAGCATACTCCTGGTGCTCAACAAACATCTGCCGAATAAATGAATGATACAAAGGCATAGTTGGTGTCCTTTCATCTTTGTATCTGCAGGACAATATCTTGCCCATGATAGGTTCATAGTAAATATTCAGAGACAGAGGAGAGAGAAGGGAATGAAAGAACACTAAAAGAAGGAAGAGAAGGAAGAAAAGAAGGAACGATATATTAGAGAGAGAGAGCATGTAGGCCTAGTTCATCTATATCTGCAATCAAAGGCTGAAGTTGTTAGAAGAGAAATAAATAAAACAAATGTCACTAGGAGTTTGTAAGATAGAAGTCATAATGGCTAAGGAAATAGGGATGGAAGCATGGAAGATACAGTTTTTGAAATGAGAGAGATTTTGATGGAGGTGGAGAATGGAAAGTACCAGGGGGTTAAGTACAGACGCAGGGAAGAGTAGGGCCCGTTTGGGGGTAGAGTCATCTTAGTTGAACACTGTTTCATTTCCCTTTGATAGTTGAAAGTTGTAGCTATGTGAGACATTACTACAACTCTCTCTCTCTCTCTCTCTCTCTCTCTCTCTCTCTGATCCTGTTCCAGGAACTGGCGGTTGGTCCCCAGCAGATTCCAATGCTCAACAGTGGCTCCAGATGGACCTGGGAAACAGAGTAGAGATTACAGCAGTGGCCACGCAGGGAAGATACGGAAGCTCTGACTGGGTGACGAGTTACAGCCTGATGTTCAGTGACACAGGGCGCAACTGGAAACAGTACAAACAAGAAGACAGCATCTGGGTAGGACATCTTTTTCCTTCCAATGAATAAAACTGAGATGTGCTCATGGTAACCACAGTATATTTCCATCATTTTCCAATATCCAGATTGTTGGTAGTTTAATACTGTTGAGTGCCCATTAGAAATAATTAGACAATTTGTAAGGCCCATGCCCAGCATGGCTCCAGTTCCTAGGAAAATTGGGAGGTCTGTTGCAAGATAGTTTAGTATGTTCCCCTTTTTGTAGTAAACTGGGGAATTCACTGACTGAGCTTCCCTTTCCTCATCTACAAAAATTAATTAAAAAACAAATAAATGTGCCAACAAAGTATGATTATTAATGTGATTATACTTATTTACTAAGTATTTATTGACGTATTTATTAGTTTATTATATGCCAGGCACTTCACATATTTTGTAACAACACAGCTAGCTCAATTATGTCATTTGATCAACATTGCCCAATGTGTGACTCGTGACTCGGGAATCTTTAAAGTCTGGTCTGACTTTAAAGCCACTAAGCAGCCTCTATCGTAGATTCACAAATAATTGAAAACTAAAACTACAAAACAAATAGAAAATTTAGAATTCTTCAGTCATTGAAAACAATCTTCAGCTTCAGAGTGAAGGACAGTTTGCTACAAGTTACAGAACAGAGCTTCTCTCCCCAATCTCACCCCACATTCTTGACCTTACTGTGTGGGTGAAAGGCTGTCAGCAAATTATTAATGGAGGAAAAGGTGGAGGTGAAGCAGACAGCAAAAGTCACCTGGAGGTAGCTTCAGAACCTCAGGCACTGAATAAAATGAGTTATAAGTTTATATTAATTTTCGTTGAGAAAATAAGTCACCATTTTTTAATCCAAATATGTGTAAAATGTGAAGATTTGGAAATTAATAGCATATTCTTTCCTTTTTAAATTCTCTCCTCTTAAATCAATGCCAGTTTATACTTTACATTAGTGTTGTCTTCACATTCACATTCCCATGTTGGGCGCATCTCACTGATAAAAATGAAACAACTTCTGTGTTATATACTCATTGTTATTTGTTAATTGCCTACCCATCACTTGGGTTTGTAATTGCAAACAGTTATAAATTGAGGATTAAGATTAGTTATGGCACACTGAATCCTGAGAATAGCATTAATGTCATCTTTATTCTGGGTCACTTGTAATGTTAGGTTATAATATTTATAAAGGGCATAAGTTTTCTTCATTTTTAAAAATAGTCTGAACAGTGCGTATACATGGAAACAAAGCAGAGAAAATAGACATCACAGCCTACTTGAAGGGAGAGGTAGGGAGGAGGGTGAGAATCCAAAATCTATCTAGTTGGTACTGTGTTCAAAACCTGGGTGATGCAATCATTTGTACACTAAGCCCCAGGGACATGCAATTTACCCATGAAGTAAACCTGCCCATGTACCCCTTGAACCTAAAATAAAAGTTGAAAAAGGAAAAAAAATTGTCTTTTGGGGACCATTTCATTTTTTCTCAATTGTGAGGTCCCCATAAATTACTACAGGTTTTCGTTTTGTTTGACTTTTAGTTTGAGATAAGAAATAAGCACACCTTCTGTTTTGAGGAGCAATTTTAAGGTTTTTATGTTGACTTTAGAGGGACAAATCGATGTGGGATTTTTTTGTTTTCTCTGGTACTTGTCATCGGGACTGGTTGTTTTTAGATTGAGTTGTAGCTTTGAGTTACAGTGCCTAAATTTTTTTTTTTTTAAATCATGAGTTTCATTTTCTTTAGAACCAAATAACCTACTTTCAGCTTAGCCCTGGGTTGGGATGTATTTCGAGGGATGACAATTCCTCTGGGCTCATGAGCAGTGGGCACAAGGCCTCTTTCACTTCCTTGCCCTTGTCAGTTTACCTGCGTTTCTAAATGATTCCAAGCTCCTCAAAGGCAGGGATCTCTTTGTACATCCATTTAGCCCCATGCCTAGTATCACTAGACACATGGCAGGAACTTATTTTGGGATGATTATTAAGAGAACTGCAGAATTACTAGGACTCCCTGAATTGAAGGATGGGGGCAGGAGACTTTCTCCATACCCTACTTTGCATCCCAAACAGCCTTGACATGGTAGGGCAGGTAAAAGTTGCTGGATGAGCAGAGAAGGAAAGGCAGGGTCCTCCATGCACAGTGAGGAAGGAAATTCCAGCAACAAACTCCCCAGAGATGCTTGCAGTGAGTGCAGGGCTTGGGAGACAGGCAGCTTCAGGATCAGCCTTTCACTAAGTAAATACAGGGAAGAGAAGTGATTTGAGGAGGGAGCATTACAACTTCCAATTTGAAGAGTCAAATACAGTGACATTAGGCAGGAATACCATGATAGGTCATGTACAGTAACTAGGCTCAACCCTGGAAAAATAGATGTCCTCTTACTTAACACTCAGATAACTCACAGTTACTAAACACCCATTACACACCATATGTAAGCAAATGTAATTCTATACGTATATCAAACTGTCATTTTATAAATTGATGATTCAATGTTAACATCTCCAGGAACAAGAGGCTTGAGGCTCACAGAGCCCAATCCAAGCTCACACAACCAGAAACTGGTGGCAAATATTTCACAACTAAGATTTATTCCTAAATATAGTTGATTGCAAAACTGTAGTTTCTGTTTCTCTTTTGGTACACTGATTTATTTTTTATTTTTATTTTTGATTTTCACAAAATTGATTTACTTTTCTCACTTCAAATGTTAACTTTGTCAAGCCAACTCTTTAAGAATAATATTAAGCCCTATTGTTTAATTCACATGTTGCTAAATATAAAAGTGTGAAGATACCAATAACATCTATTTGTATTTGTATATGTTGTAAATAGTGCTTGAAATCTCTAAAACCCTCTAGAATTTCAGGGTGTTTTGCAAACACTTCACAGAAATCTGGGAAATTTGCCTTGTGACTAACTAATATGTATTGATACTTTCATCACATTACGCTGCTGGTTGAAAGAGATTATCTTGAGAGCTTTGCTTTTTACTTTTTATTTTTAATTTATTTTAATTTTAAATTAGAAGACAGACTCTGAATTCACCAAAATTAAGCCTTATAACTAAGACAAGAACCGTAGTCAAACAAAAGGTTTTGCAAAACTGTCTAAATTGTTTTGTTTCACTTTTCAGAAAAAGTCAATGCCTAAAACATCAAGTACTGGCTTAAAGGTGGTACATCAAGAAAATAGAGAATATGTATATATATTCACACATATATATGTGTGTGTGTGTGTGTATGCATATATGTGTGTGTGTGTGTATGCATATGTGTGTGTGTGTGTGTATTTGGAGGCAGGGTCTTACTCTGTCACCCAGGCTGGAGTGTAGTGGCACTATCATAGCTGACTGTAGTTTTGATGTGCTGGGCTCAAGTGATCCTTCCACTTCAGCCTTCAGAGTAGCTGGGACTACAGGCATGCACCACCACATCCGGCTAATTCTTTTGAAATTTTTAAAACTCTTTTTTTAGAGATGGGTTCTCACTTTGTTGCCAGGGCTGGTCTCCAACTCCTAGGACCAGGTGATCCTCCCGCCATGACCTCAGGTTTACAGGCTTGAGCCACCACACCTGGCCAATGAAGCAGAGAATCTCTTGAAAGCTTACTTTTACTGGGTCTTCTGTGAATCCTAAAATTTTAGATAATATATAGTTTGTAGTGCTCTTTAAAACTGATTTACCAAACAATACATAGCACATACTGTGCATGGGACAATCCATCCACCAGTACTGAAGAGATTTATTACATTTCACAAGGTTCGCTTCAGAAAAATAATCCTAAAAGGATACCTTTGCAATGTACAGTAGCAATTTTTCACACCCTAAAAATCCAATTTGGAGAGTTTCTGATCTGGCACTGAATGGAATGCTCATGAATGAGGCCACCAAACAGCCACTTAGTGATGCATCATGATTTATGCACAAGCTAGAGTCCTCGCTTCACTAAATAACCAGGCATGAAGGTGTGTCGGGGACAAACCCCGCAACAATGTTCAGAATCTTAGCAGCTCCAAAACCTCTTCCTGACTGGTGTGTAGACATGCTGAATCATTACAAATATTAAAATTCCAACGCTGGGCAGCAGTGTGAGCCAATGCTTGGTAAAGTGGGTAAACTTGTTTGGAACTAAAGGAATCTCTTTAATTAAGTCCACTCAGACCAGGTCCTGTCAGCAGTCCTTCTGAAAGATATGCCAGAAGAACCATGTACTGTCCGTGTTATATCCATGAATAACCACAATGTTGAGCCCTTTCCTTCATAAGCACAATTCCCACACTGTCAGTGAGGCTCTTCTGCCCTAATTCAACGTCCCCACATCCTCAGCTATTCATCACACAGCTGATGTGAAGCCCCTTCTCTACCCTGTCATCTCCTGTGAATATTCTATATTTTATTAATATTCAACTCGCAGTTTTTCTCTTATTAAAATTATGTGGCCTCTCCCCAAACAGACAGTCATATAGTCCTTTATTATAGACGCTTTTGAAAAGGCCTGTGCATTCTGATGGTCTGTGATTTCCTGTAACTTTCTCGAATCTGCCTTAACATGAAGGACTTGCATTTGTTACCTGGCAGTTTACAGGTAACCTCTCACACAGACGTCAATTCAAGCAATGGATTATACAGTTTGGTCCTCAGTTCCCCAATTTCATCCTTGACTGACTTCCAAATTCTCTGGGAGATGCTCTCTGATCTTCATGATTTATACACATTTATTCTACCAGTTTGGCCTAGAACATCCTGAGTATTGATCACTGTTTGATATAGTATTTTAAGTCTACCGATTTCAGAAAACAATTTGAGAGTGAGAATCTCATCACCATCAACATGTATCTTTTAAGCTCTCATTATAGGCCAAGCACTGTGCAAGGTGCTAGGCTTACAAAGGGGCCTAAGCTATGGTTTTTCCCATCTCTGGGTGTGCAGAACCATTAGGGAGACAAATCAATGGCATGCAACACAGTATATGTGTATATCGTACCAAGGCAGCAGTTCACATGCACGAA